TACCCCAAGAAGATCACATAACATTGAATACTGGGCATGCACGCTACCAAAAGAGGAGGATTGCACAAACCACCTCAACGTCTAGCAGAGCCGTGTGATGAACGGGCATGAATAATGAGAAGTGCGGTTCTCCCCTCATTCATCATATAAGAAACCAAATTCAGGGAATCCCGCATTCTCCAGCTAACTTTCAGTAATGGGGTTTACCTAGTCAGCTCCTGAGAGGGTTCCTTTCTTCGAAAATTGACTCCCACTACTAGGTAAAGCCCTTTGAGGTCAAATTGATGAACAAGGAATTCAACAACATTCACATAAATGCTTCATTCACTCGTACATGGAACTCCAGACCCAGTTAGCGTTTGACACCATTATCGGTGCCTTGCACTTTCTGCCCTAAAGATGACAGCTGTGAGAGTGGCTGTGAGTGAGAGTGGCGCTGCTTATCACTCGCATGGTGCGATGATCAAATCCTGAATCTATTGCTCCCACAACAGCCAAGCTCTCCATCCCTCTGGGAGCGGTCAAACGTACAAGACTTGTTCTGGGAAGATAAAAACATTGAGCACAACACCTCCGGAAGTCATCGTATACGATAGAGCGCAGTCGAATTGCCAGTGCGACTTCGATTGGAAGTAATGCACAGCGTATCACAAAAAGGGATAGGTTAGGGAGATTTGTGGTTGGCGAACCTTCCAAACTATAAATATTACCAAGGATTTCCTTAGTTCTGAAACTTTTACAGAAACGTTACCTTTTCCGGTCAACAGATACATTCCATATTTGAAACAACTTTTCGGATATTTCCGCTCCTCGCAGTTCTGTTTGAAAAGTGTGTAAGCGGCCTTGAAATTCTGTTCCAGTGCCTCCATGTACTCGCCAAGAAGTTGACATGAATCGGCTCGTTTTTCCTAAAATGGTCACGATAAATTTTTGGTCGCTTCCGCGAAAATCTTTCCACTACGAATTGTCTCGGAGCAAAGGCTCAACAGCTTCACAAGAAGCTGAATTATAAGCAAAATACTTTGCCTCAGCTGAAATTCGAACTCGGCCCGCCTTGCTTTTTGGTCAGAACTGCTACCATCACACCACGAGCGCCATGTTTGATCTTATCTCAGATCTCATTAATATTTTTGCGCCGCTGTAATTCGTCACAACTCTGCTGCTAACGAGGGACAAATATACTGCAAACACTCGAGGTTCGCAAAATGTGTACAAATTAGGAACTTCATGTTCTCCATACAAGGACGCCTTTCATGCACGGCACTGGGTTCAGTTCAGTCCTTAACTAGTGCAGTGATGTCGCCCAGTTGCAAACGACATACAACAGTTCGAAGAAGGGATGGAAGCGATGGTACTCGAAGCAAAAAATGCAGGTTGCGGAAAAACCTAATCATCTATGCACCACTCAGGGAGCAGGGCCTCTTTTTATCCAGTCATACATCAATTATCGCAAGATGTTGCCTTCTGACTAGAACACAGTCTGAGAGCTACGCAAAGGTGTTGGGTGCATTCCCACGTATGGTAATGGTAGGCTGTACCCTCAGGTTACCATCCGAACTCTGACTAGGCCCGCAAGTTAAAGCTGAGGCCGGTCAATTGGAAAAATCATTGCATTCGCCCTTGGATGCTGCTCAGAGCTGTTTTCCTTTATCGGCCAAACGATTCTTTGAACGGAGCTGCGAGACAGAAAATTGTAGTGGTATTTTTGGCCTTACTGGCGGTTTCCGGATGGAATCCTCCTCAGAGACATGCTCCCCTTATCAGCATCTAAGGGTGACTTCCGACGTCATCACTTTATTAATGCTTGCCCATAGGTGCCTCACTGAAGAGCTAGGAAGCAATCAAGAGCGCTTCTGGTATTGATATAGCATGTATAACAACGCGACTTTTCAAAATGAAAGTATTGGAAAATAGGGAAGCACCTTCCTGGTTTATTTCTACATAAGCAGTGGTAGTTACTGCACACAGAAGGTCTGATGATCCGATCGTATCGAATCTCGCTCAATTGGAGCGACTTTTACCTTTACAGGATCAACCAACTGTCAATCAACTTTGAAAGCCTTGTACACCACTCGCCGCCACCCCCCCCCTCCATCGCAAGTGTTTTTGTAGGCGAAGCACCCTATGAAAATCACCGGCGAGCAGAGTTAAATGTCGGATGCATGGCGCATTTCACATCGAGGTTTTGACAATCAGCAGTCTCATAACTGCTCTGTTTCAAAATTGCGCTCTCCTTTTATGCGGCATCTTTCTTCAATAATTGGAGGCACAGGGAGGGATCTGCTCAGGTTAGGCTTGATCAGTTTGGCTAAACGACGTCACATGGTCTAGGTGAAATGCTGGACGCACAACCAATATTAGTGCTAGATGTCATGGATCTGAATAGACAAGTGAAGCGTTCCTTTTGCGTGACTAATTCTAGGCCACGCTTTGGTGCGAAAGTATGCTGATGTGAGGTAAGGGTAAACAATATGCAACGAAAAGTGGTAGACGATCTTTTCATCCCCTACAGCTCAACGAAATCAGCACCGACGCGGCGCAGCGGATCGAAGGTCGATCCAAAGGCCCACCATACGACATGTGGCGTCGAGTCAAATTCACTTTTTTAAAATGTTAAGGTTAGCGAACCGTTGCATGAGTCATCAAAAATGACAAATTTCAATACTTCTCAATCACTCAACTATGTCCAAGTGACTGCTTGAAATCGAACAAAAGCGTTACTCATAACAAACCAAAACGACAATTTCCCCAAAGATACCCATCATAACTGGTTCACCTTTTCCTTGCTTGAAGGAATCCTTCGCGGAAAATTCTTGCATTCTTTCTTAACATGAATATGTCAGTTGTGATCACTGGAAACAGCACAAAGTTTCACGCATGAAGATTCGGTTTCCGAAGAGAACAAACGTACAAAAACTACACTCTATGGAGGTAAAAGGCAGGAGCCAAAGGCGAGGCATGGAAAGAAGTCCGCCTTGGGCGGCTACGTATCAGGCGACGCTGAAAGAATCGGGTTAAAGCGCGCGATTTCGGAGAGTAGAGACAAATCGATCGATAGAATAGGATGCAGTAGAAGTGTGAGATGTGAATGCAATAAGTCAAAAGGCCAGAAAGAGTTTCTAGTGAAGGCACTCCAAGAACCAAGTGGAAGCATCCCGTCGCCAGCATTTGTGACAGATGTCCGCGGTACTTTGAACGCGTAGCAGCCCTTTCGATTTTTCGAATTTTTTACCAAAACAAAAGCAATATTTCTGTTCTTTTCATTCTTATCGTGGATAATGAGTCTCAAGCCAGTGATTTATGGCTGAAATAGAACGATTTTTCCGTGAAGGATTAATGGATTCTATTGGAAACGGTACTACTCGGAACATCGTACACATCGACGAGAAGTTAGAAGTTAGAAGTCCTCAGAGATTAACTCAGCGCTCCTCAGAATGACTCCTTGTAATTGTTATAGGATGTTATAGGATCACAGTACAAGGTGAGAGGCACTACCTTCTACGATAAGTGTAGAAGGTACCACCAAAAAGAAACGTAGACGCCTAGCCGATGAATACCTTCACAGAGTACTGAATTGATAGCTGATTTCAGCAGCAGGTTCTTTATTTTTCTACCAGATTAGTCCCCCGTCAACCGCCGGGACCTTCCTTTCCTGCGCAAGCTTTCTATCCTCCGCTATGGTCCCTTCCTCCTGTGACACCAACACCTGGAAGTGACGCGTATGCAACACAATGGTGTTTCATACAGTAGAAGGGACACAATCATGATATGACGGTAGATTTTTCGCTTCCCTTCCTCATCCTCCCTTCCTCTCTCCACTGCCCTCCAGCTGCCACTGCAGCACCATGTGGAATGAACGGAAGTGTGCTAAGCAGGTGTTTATAGCCCCTAAGAGTGTTATCACAACTATCCTGCTACAAAACATTGATATCTCAAATCCTGTAAGCTACCCGATTTGTTAGCGGTTTGTTTATCCCATGAGCTTCCTTCTCACTCACTTCATTTTGCGGACGGACACACATACATACACACACGCACACACACACACACTCACACACACATACAGATACACAAACCGACACACAAAGTTAGCTTTATAATATAGTAGGATTAACGAACTTATAATCTGGAGAATATATATAACCATGAGAAAAAAATCACCCGAACAACCGTATCGGTATTCTATGCCTAGATTTTTCACATACTCTTTCCTTTCCTCTTGTATCTTCTCCATTTCCTTAGGATCCATGTTGGCCTACGTAATCAATACAGAACGGTGACCATGTAGATGAAATAACAATAGATCAGGAATATTATGTGATTATCCACCATATATTGCACCAATCATAAGCACAAAAATAATTCATTATGGACCCAAAATCGTAAACATTTTATAAATATCACCTAGATTAGAAGAAACACCATAATAGTAACGCAATACCATAAGTGCTCACCCGTAATTCATAGGAATGATCCGCAATAAACCGGAGCATCCACCTTCAAGCTACTACAAACCATTACCATCATCTCTCAAAAGCGAACACTCTCTACCAAATTCAACGTGCAGTCTTCTGCCATCAAACAATGGAAGCGAACTTTTACAAAAATAACAGACAAGGTGGTTTCAGATGAAAATCCGTTAACCCATCCAAAGCGAAAACGTATACATCACATGTCATCTTCCTAAATAAACACATATGAATCGAAAAGTAAAAACTAAACGTGAGAAATGTATTTTAATAAAAGTAAAATTCAAGACCGTAGGACCACACTTCACTTCTGTCAAATTGTAAAATCGATGGCCATTTCCGTCGTTTTTGTCACACGCCAAATACGCCTAAAGCACTCAGTTGAAAATAGAATGTTCATTCATGCCAAATTAACCAAAATGGGTTCAGAATCACGTTTTCGCCAATCGCCGCCAAGGTAAATCGCAAAAAAAAAGTGCTCACAGTGGGAGAACAATCAAGCTTACCTCTATAATCAGACCATCTGGAACTCGGAACCCCATAGATTTTATGCGTTGAATAGCTGCAGCTTCTTGCTCTGTTAAATCGATCACGTGGCGTTCACCGTAAGGGTTGGGATTGGCTGCGGCTTCGGCTCCAGCTGCTGGCTATAAAAAATCTGCGTGTATAAAAATATTTCTCGAATATTGCAGCACAGCCTTTTCTTTTGAGGCACTTTCAGGTCCCTTCTTGCTAGCACACTCAAAAGGCCCGCTAAAACTCAAAAGATTTCACATTGCTCTCCATATATAACAACAGCACGAAAACTTTCAATGATCGTCCGTCTTCATGTTTGAAGAGACGGGGGGGGGGGCAGAGAGTATGGGAATAGGTAGAAAAGCAGTGCTTATATTAAGCATTTCAGCGCATATACCACGTAGAAAAGCTGAGCATTACAGCACCGCAGTGAAAGCACTACCCAATCGGGCAAGCGCGGATGCCAATAGAGAAGTGAATTTTCTTGCATTCACTAATTCTTAGTAATTTGTTTACTTATAAAGTGTACGTGTGAAGCACTGCTGCAATTACCATGTAGTACTAAGTGAAACATAGCTTCGGCAAAGTACTTCTATGGACGATTCGAATCATTTTTGCTGTCCTTTCATGTACTTGCCTCAACAGATCATGGATAGGTAAAAATCCATGGCACTATTAACCGCTTAACACCTTGACAGCAGTTGTTTTTGCTCTAGAGGCTCGTGGGAAGGGTGCCTTTTTTCGAGCGCAGCTTCCGCGAAGCGCATACAAATCACGCTATCACAAATGCGTTTTGCTGAAGTGAAGACTAAAGCGGACTTATAATGAAATTGATGATTGGCATCATAACGTGAACATAAAGAAGAGATTACTATACACAAAAACCAACATTAGCAAACACTTATCAGATTTATAAAATGGTTGGTGATGAAATGGTAGGTAGGTATTCTTTTGACCCTCGACCAACTACAAAAGCCACTTGTGCTACTCTTCATTGACTTGTAGGAGGTAGTGGAAAGTAGGAGAATCAAATAAACTGTGAGCTATGTAAGCGTCAGAAGCCTTTGCTAAACTAGAGCATGTCGAACATTCTGCGTACCACTTCTTTTCTAGGTCTAATGAGGTACATTCTATAGAATAAATATTAAAATCCGGGAAGAAGTCCAGCGTGCGCGGAAGAGAATCATTTATCAGGTTGTCTCATATTCCTGTCACATTACTATTCAAATACAAGTGCTTCTGTCTGAGACCGTTTCATTGCGAAATATGCTAATATATTGGAGAACGCTTGGAGAGCCTTAAAAAGGTGGTCTCTGATGAGCAGCCCTGAATGACTATGCTTTACGATCGTCAAATGAATCCTATTGCAAGGAGGACAGTAGAAAAATTCTGCGCTGTGTTTGACCCAGTCTCTATTACTGATCAGGTGCTGAGCTAATGGCCCAATCGCCAAGCACAGCCTCAATGGAGATGAGTCATGCGACAACAAAACGTGGCACTCCTTATGGCTACCTCGCAGCCAGGAAGCACCAGCTCAACCAAAGCCCGAACTCCGTTTTCTGAGAATATCGCTCTCGTTTTGTTGGATTCGCTAGGTGGCCTGGTTTGGGAACCACTTCAATGTATGAAGACAAGTCAGCGTGGAATAGCCCTCTAGGCTGGCTTCGGTATTGCGAGGGAATCGTCAGAAACGTCTCAGAATCCCCTTTCTCCTTATGAACGCCCGACCTCCATTGAGATGCCAACTCGCTATGTTCTAAGAGAGATAAGCAGGGCTCGATATCACATCCACCATGTAACACTGGCATCGCTCCCTCGGATTATCGCCTTCCCTTGCGTTCCTAATCAGCCTGCGCGAGAAAGAGTACGAATACACCACCTAAAAACGACTTCTCCGAGTTCTTCCACCCCAAGCTTCCCTCGTTCTGGGCAGAACACTTCCAAAGGCTCCCTACTAAATGCATGAATATCAATGACTGTGACGGTTTCTGTGACTGTTGTTCAGTAGTTTGGCCCATGAGAAAGAAAACTCGAATAAACAAGTGTCACTATTGGGACAGCATTTATAAGTCAACCCAATAGCTTCAAACGATGTACGAAGCGTGACTCTGATGCAAAATACGCTGTCGTCAAGGTGTAAACCGTATGCCGCTAATGTAACCACTGTTTGTATCCACAGTGAACCCCAAGTTGAAGTGGACCTAGTCCGAAGCTATATTTCAACCTAAGAACGAACAACATCAGGCACTAGCCGACATGTGCACAAGGGCTTCCAAATGACATTAACCATAGCCTATACAACAAGAAGATTACTACCATCACCCCTGCTGGACCTTGCGTTGAATATCTACACTCTGGATTTTTTCTATCACGATCTTCGTTCTAATTGACACAAACTGCACACCAGCATTCCGCTCAAAACCAAATCAAGTCAATATAAGCATTAAGAATCTGAAGTTCAAGCTGCTTGCTAACAACCAAAGAAGATGAAAAAAAGCACAGATGTGAAGTGAACGTTCACCGACGTACTTCACCAATACGGATGCTTCCACGGATAGTAAAAGAAAAAAAGGAAAAAGGGCTACCTGTGCAGCACCTGAACCAGGCGCAGTGTTTAATATGCGCAGAAATTCCTCCTGATTGTTTTGGATGATTTCCATCAGCTCAGGGTTTACAGTATGCGATTTGCTGAAAATTTAAAATTGAGCCTTTTTGTGTGAAGCCCCTTTATGCGTTTCATACAGCCTTACTTATTAGAAAATCATAAGGAAGAAAAAACATGATTCTTCGAAAAGATCTAACTACATCGTTGTTGTAGAACACGACAAACTGTTCTCGAATTGATCTTACCTGAATTAATGAAGGGAGAATCTCAGGATTGGAGAACGTACGAGATACGAAGTTCATTGCCATTTGCGGAAGATGCAGTGCGCACGAGCTCAAGCTGGAGCTGGAGCTTTCACTAATGAACAAACGCTGTTGCAACAAAACAGAAAGGGTCAAAAATCCCTGATCTGAATCGCGTGTCATGGTGGCGAAAAAAAAATAACACAAAGAAAAGGCTGATTTAAAAGGAATAAAGAGTTAACCGTAATCTATACTTATTGTTAGAAGATTTAGGAGCGAGAAAGAAGATGGATGAACGGCAGTGGAGTAGCTTTACTCATTGTCAAAACAGCACCGGATGGAGAAAAACTAGCCAAAACGATGGAAAGAGGTTGGGACCTTCTGGCTATGAATAGCCCCAGGCTGTGGAATGCGCACTCGGATGAAGAGCTGCAGATATACTTCGCCCACCAGGAACGTATCCATATGGCCGGTGTCAGGCTTTGTGAATGAAGCGATTCGCTAGCGAATAGCGGCGTACGAGCGATGCGTTCTAGCGATGCAGCAACGGTGGGGGTAAGTGGGCGAGAGTCCCTCTTATTCACACAATGAATTTCGCTATTCCCACAGAATGATGATGATTGTAAGTATCTGAATGCGGGCCTTGCTTCAGCCGAACCACTTAAAAAGGTAAGAGTTCCTCATGATTATACAAAAATTGGACTGAAACAATTCACCTCCTTCACTCTCTTCTTCTTCACCACCAACTTCAATAGGCATTTGCTCTTCATCAGGGATTCCACTCAACAAATACTCCACAGCACGATCAGGGTTCCAGTACGCCGCTCGAAGTGCGGCAATGACCTATACAAGGAAGCACAATCATCAAAATGTCAATCATCATAATCAAAGCACTGTCAGCACAGGTGCAAATCATGAAAGCGTCCGAAGAATAGAACAAAAATTGAGAATTACCTGATCACGAGGATATCCCATCGCTTGTATGGCTTCAATAGACGACTCCTGATCGGTGGTGAAAGCTGAATCAACTAAGATTGATCACGATGCATAAGAACTATATAAAACATCATCTCAGAGTATAGAAGATATATCCAAATTTTAAATACTTTACCAAACAGTGAGCAAATTCGGACAAAAACTATAAGCGGTTACGACAAAATGGGTCAATTTTGAGTAGTACAGACTTGGCAACTCGCATTGCGCTTCCTTACCAATCGACAGAACGAGGGTGACACCGTCTCACTCTGTCGCTTGCCGTGTGCCTTGCACACTAATCCCGAATCGGAGTAATGACGCAAGACCCACATCCATTTTCCTCTTACTTTCCCATTATGCTTGCAGACTTCGCCACTGATAACGCATAGAAGCAAAAAAGGGAGGGGTGAAAATGATTTACTTATCATAGCTATCCAGCCTGAGTAGCAGTAAATAAAAAGTAGAGATTTCATCTTTCTATGATCAGAGGAAGCCACGCTCGCTCGAAGCAGCTCCTGCTACAACGACCTCTTCAACTCCAGCGCCAGCGCAGTCTAGTGCGCCTGCTCCCGCAGTTGCAGCCCCTGAAGCAAGTGCACAGTCAGAACCTCAACCACAGTCTACTCCTGCAGAAGTTGCCTCTTCTACTCCCGCACCGAAGCCGGCTGCAGAGACACCCCTCAACCAGCGCCTGTACAACAGTGTTGGTTCATTCACAGCTATTACTACTTTTTGAGCTGTTATTATTTGTCATCATTTCTAACTGCATGGCTTTCATTTTGCACAAATAATTGAAGTTTGGCAGTTCGCCTCTGCCGCAATCGATTTACGCAGAATGCGTTCTCTACTCCCGCGTTAAAAACAGGATTAAGGAAACTGCTGCTAGAAGTCAATTATTTGCGTGCGAAAATTAAATTTTTCTTTTGTACCAAATTCACTTCATTATTATTTCTAATATCAAACCATTCCCGAAAAATCTGCATTCTTCCAGCAAGAGGGACTACCGTCCGTGTAAGCTGGTCTGATCCGAATACTATTGCTCAAAGACATTGGAAGCTGCGGGGTTAAATGCAACTTGATCGAGCATCCTTGAGCCTTTTCCCTCTAAGCCCTAGCCCTAAAGAGCATTAGTAAAAGGGGATAATGAATTGTTGCAAACGCCTTGAGTACTTGTGCCGCAATGCTATCTCTCTATTGGAAGAGCGCCACATAATGGCCGATGTCAGACTCTGCGATTGGAGCGATCGGTCAAATGCCAATCGCGCGACCATCGCGCGATTCGCGCGATTGACATGAGTCCCATCATGACCAATCGCTCCAATCGCGCGATGGGCGCGATCACTCCCGTTGTGGCTGGCGCGCCCCTCTCGATCGATACGTTCAGTCAACGTATCGATCGAGAGGGGCGCGCCAGCCACAACGGGAGTGATCGCGCCCATCGCGCGATTGGAGCGATTGGTCATGATGGGACTCATGTCAATCGCGCGATCGTCGCGCGAATCGCGCGATGGTCGCGCGATTGGCATTTGACCGATCGCTCCAATCGCAGACTCTGACATCGGCCATTTCTGATCGAATTTTAGCTTCAATTTTGAGCTATATACTTTGCGTTTTTCAAAGAATTGCTGTCAGTTCAGGTGGCTTTTTATTTACCTAATTGGTTTCTCGTAATTAATTTGCGTAGTTAATATTATCCCTTTCCTCGCGCTGAAACTTTGGCTCCCCCATATGACAAGTAAATTCATTTCACCCCTCCCTTTTTTGCTTCTATGCGTTATCAGTGGCGAAGTCTGCAAGCATAATGGGAAAGTAAGAGGAAAATGGATGTGGGTCTTGCGTCATTACTCCGATTCGGGATTAGTGTGCAAGGCACACGGCAAGCGACAGAGTGAGACGGTGTCACCCTCGTTCTGTCGATTGGTAAGGAAGCGCAATGCGAGTTGCCAAGTCTGTACTACTCAAAATTGACCCATTTTGTCGTAACCGCTTATAGTTTTTGTCCGAATTTGCTCACTGTTTGGTAAATGTATTTAAAATTTGGATATATCTTCTATACTCTGAGATGATGTTTTATATAGTTCTTATGCATCGTGATCAATCTTAGTTGATTCAGCTTTCACCACCGATCAGGAGTCGTCTATTGAAGCCATACAAGCGATGGGATATCCTCGTGATCAGGTAATTCTCAATTTTGTTCTATTCTTCGGACGCTTTCATGATTTGCACCTGTGCTGACAGTGCTTTGATTATGATGATTGACATTTTGATGATTGTGCTTCCTTGTATAGGTCATTGCCGCACTTCGAGCGGCGTACTGGAACCCTGATCGTGCTGTGGAGTATTTGTTGAGTGGAATCCCTGATGAAGAGCAAATGCCTATTGAAGTTGT